TATCAGGATGACCCAATTTGTGCCATAGTCCGGGGCTGGGAATGCTCAGCCCGACAGTCTGAAGACCAGCAGGGTTCCGAGCTACAGCACTATTAAAAATACTGTATTTTCACTTTTTCAGATTATTATTAAACGGTTAAACGAAACCGCCCTTTTAACGGTTAACCGTTTAGCACAAAAACCGTAATGACTCGGGCTTAGGTGAAACAGTGGTGAAGCTTGAACTATGCAAATGGCCAGTATGGTGAAACAGTGGTGAAGCTTCAGACCGGCCGAAAACTTACAAAAGTGAAGCCTCACCTATGGAAAACTGACACAAGTGAAGCCTCACCTATGTAAAACTGACAAAAGTGAAGCATCACCTATGCAAATAATTCAAAGGGTGAAGCCTGGACTAACACATTTGCTGATAAGAGTGATGCTTTGCCTTTGTTTTTTGTAAAGCACATGAAGTGATGGTGAAACCCTGAGGTTACAAATAATTGGCTCAGGTGAAGAAAGGTGATGACCTGAGGAGGGTGGGTCCAGGCCACAGAGTGACCCTTGCATTAATGACAGAGTTAAAATAATTTCCACTACAACCAAGAAGTTACCTTGCTACAACTGTGCGTTGATTATCGCGACAAAATAATTTCTACTAAATCTACATCCGAACACACATGACGGAGTTATGATAGAATTTCTAGGTCATCACAACTGAACCCAACGCTATATCCACACACAAAAAAAACCATGTGCTCAGCTCATGTCCAACACACTGCTTGGGCGTACGTTGGTGGGCGGTGCAAGCCTGTGCCAATCGATAATCAGCTTTGAGACTAATTTCTTTAAAAGTTTATCGGAGTGCTACTGTATATCCAAATCATAATGAAACTGTCTTCGACTCGAAAAAGGTCTTCTCATTGGCTAAATAATAATTTGCAAGTTTATTTTTTGAAAGCAAATGTTTGTTTGTTTTCAGTTGTCATTTATTCTCCTGAGGTATTCCAAGTGGTATGACGTCTGAATTGGCAGACTATACAAGCCCTGTAACTTCTTGGTTTCAGCTGGCTGGGGCGTGTCATATATCTTAGATAAGAACTGTCAAAACATGTCTGGGAAATGTAATCACGTACTGTAACCATGGAGATCTCTTCTTATATCTCTATGCTGTAACCTATGGTGGCCCTGAAGGGACATCGCGAATAGACTAAATCGTGAAAAATATGCGATAAAATTCACGATATCGTCAATTTTATCGCATATTTTTCACGAAGAAATTCACGAAATTGACGATATCGTGAACTTTATCGTGAACTTTTCACGATGAAATTGACGATATCGTGAATTTTATCGTGAAAAGTTCACGATATAAAGTTCACGATATCGTCAATTTTATCGTGTACTCTATCGTGTACTCTATCGTGTACTCTCCTGACGGGCGCTTCGTAAACAAAACCAGCCCTAGCTGGGGGAGACAGAGAGAAGGAAAAAAGGGAAAGGGAAAGAGAAGATAAAAGGAAAGAAAGAATAATAAGAAGAAAAGAGGGAAACGGGGGGGGGGCGAAGGGCTCTTGCCTCCTCCTCACTCCCCCCCCCCCCTCCCCGCCAAAAAAATAAATCAGAGAGAGAGAGAGAAGGGAAAGGGAAAGGGAAAGAGAAGATAAAAGGAAAGAAAGAGGAAGAAGAAGAAAAGAGGAAAACGGGGGAAGGGCGAAGGACTCTTGCCCCCCCTCCCCCCCCCCCCCCGCCAAAAAATAAATCAGAGAGAGAGAGAGAGAGAAGGGAAAGGGAAAGGGAAAGAGAAGATAAAAGGAAAGAAAGAAGAGGAAGAAGAAGAAAAGAGGGAAACGGGGGCAAAGGGCTTTTGCCTCGTCCCCCCGCCCCCCGCCAAAAAATAAATAAGAGAGAGAGAGAGAAGGAAAGGGATAGAGAAGAAAGAAAGAGAAAAACGAAAAAGAGGGAGAATAGGAAAGAAAGGAAAAGAAAGAAAAGAAAGGAGGCAAGAGCCCTTCGCCCCTGTTTCCCTCTTTTCTTATTCTTTTTCCTCTTCTTTCTTTCCTTTTATATTTTCTTTCCCTCTCCCTTCTCTTTCCCTTTATGGCGGGAGGAGGGAGGGGGAGGTAAGAGCCTTTCGCCCTTCCCCCGTTTCCCTCTTTCCGTCTTCTTCTTCTTTCTTTCCTTTTATATTTTCTTTCCCTTTCCCTTTCCCTTTCCCTTCTCTCTATCTCTCTCTCTCTCTCCTATTTATTTGTTGGCGCGGGAGGGGGGAGGAGGCAAGAGCCCCTCTTTTCTTCTTATTCTTCTTCCTTTCCTTTTTTATTCTCTTTCCCTTTCCCTTCTCTCTCTATCTCTTATTTATTTTTTTGGCGGGGGGTTGGGGAGGGAGGAGGCAAGAGCCCTTCGCCCTTCCCCCGTTTCCCTCTTTCCTTCTTATTCCTCTTCTTTCTTTCCTTTTATATTTTTTTTCCCTTTCCCTTCTCTCTCTTATTTATTTTTGGCGGGGGGGGGGGGGAGGAGGCAAGAGCCCTTCGCCCTTCCCCTGTTTCCCTCTTATTCCTCTTCTTTCTTTCCCTTTCCCTTCTCTCTCTCTCTCTCTCTCTTATTTATTTTTTTGGCGGGGGGGGGGGGGGGAGGTAAGAGCCTTTCGCCCTTCCCCCGTTTCCCTCTTTCCTTCTTCCTCTTCTTTCTTTCCTTTTATATTTTCTTTCCCTTTCCCTTTCACTTCTCTCTCTCCTTATTTATTTTTTGGCGGGGGGGGGGGGTAGTGAGGAGGAGGCAAGAGCCCTTCGCCCCCCCCCCCCGTTTCCCTCTTTTCTTCTTATTATTCTTTCTTTCCTTTTATCTTCTCTTTCCCTTTCCCTTTTTTCCTTCTCTCTGTCTCCCCCAGCTAGGGCTGGTTTTGTTTACGAAGCGCCCGTCAGGAGAGTACACGATAGAGTACACGATAGAGTACACGATAGAGTACACGATAAAATTGACGATATCGTGAACTTTATATCGTGAACTTTTCACGATAAAATTCACGATATCGTCAATTTCATTGTGAAAAGTTCACGATAAAGTTCACGATATCGTCAATTCGTGAATTTCTTCGTGAAAAATATGCGATAAAATTGACGATATCGTGAATTTTATCGCATATTTTTCACGATTTAGTCTATTCGCGATGTCCCTTCAGGGCCACCATAGTAACCCCTCTTACTTTTATGACAATGAGATTGCCTACAAGTATTAGGCCATGCCATTGCTTGAACTTCTTGCTCTGTACTGTGCGTGGAGTGGTATGCGACTAATTTCTTCCAGCAAAGAGCCATCCAGGGAGGGGGGGGGGGGGGGGGGGGGGGGAGGAGGATTTTGATGTGAAATATTTTCAATCCAAAGTCGCCACCATATATGTTCTACCTCTTTTTCTTTTGCAATTTTTGGAATCCTTTCATATAAATATATATTTTAAGTCATGACCTTTTTATACAGGTATGCGAATTTTATATTTCTGACGTAACCTCAAAGGGGCGAGTTAAAATCCAAATTCATAATTACTATCATTTTGTCTACAACTAGTTCATCTAATAAACAAGGAATTACACCAAAGAGTCTGTTGGCCATTCCGATAGGCCATGATTTCTTGTCGAACATGGAGACTTCGTCGCACGGCTGGCAGAAGGGCGTTAGCGCGCGATCGACTCGAAAACTACTTTTCGAGTTATTCGCATTTAAAGATTTGTTTTATATTTAAACTGCTTTCCGTCCCGAAATTTGGTTTAAAACTTAAAAGACTAATAGAAATGTTAAAGCAGAACACGACAAGACATTTTTTCCCGGAAATAAGTCATTTTTATAAAAGTTTGAGGCGATTTAGTGCTAACGCCCTTCTGCTTAACGCATTATTGCGCATCTTCTTTCATGCTAAAGGGCGCATGCCGCGTAACGCCCTTCTGCTTTGAGTAAAATAGATACGCTTCGGCGCGTAAAGCTTGTAAAAGGGCGTAACGCGCATGGTGTAGCCCGGATGGAGCGTGTTGTCATTCAGACTTTCTGAAATAAAAAGCAGACGCATGCAATTGTTTGTGATGATAAAATATCAAATTTGATTTTTCGTTTGCTTTTGTTTTAGCATTAATTAATAGTATTAGGTTATGCTTTACGGATTTCGCTTCCAATATTTACAAAAAACTCATTAAATTTATCAGCAATTTATTTTAAATCATAATGTATCACGGCAATTTATTGATTATTATGCAAGGGTAATTCTTAATGCATTAACCAAGTACATCGCTTATAGTATCCAAGGTATTTTTCATGTTTCCTTAAACCTATTTGGAATTTCAAATAGTAATAATTACTTTATGCTGATTTCCGGAATTTATTCCCATGATTTCGAACTCTATTATATTTCCTCTTATTCGTATCTCTATACAAAGAGGTCAATACATTCAAAGAGTAATAGAGTAAAAAATAAAATTACACTGATCACATCACTCTGCCCCATCCTGATATTTATCTTTAATCCTTCACAGAATGCAGGAAATGCATCAATTTGTTACAGAATGCCCTTTATGTCTACAACTGTATACTGTACGTTGTGCTTCATATGTGATTTAAGTTTGATTGGATATTGTTGTCAATAATCAAAAGTATATTTGTATACTTTTTTTGGGGGGCACACCAAGCACTATGTACAATTTCTTCTCAATTCTTTCTCTTTCTGTCTCTCTCTCTCTCATGCAAACAAGAACATCCCCTCACTCTCTCTCTCTCTCTATTTCTATCGATCTCTCTGTCTTTCTCTCTTTTTCTTTCTCCATTAAACACATCTCATAATCGTTTGTTACCCCTCTTTTGCAGTTGCGTGTCTATCTTCTTGTCGCATTAGTCATTTCCATTCTAGTACATTACTCTCTCGGACACATTTTTCCCATGAACAAATGTAACTATATAAGAATAAACGCTAAATAGCACAAAGCAATCAAATGTTAAGATGAACACTTCTGTCATGGTAATGACTGAATTTATTTCTTTGCAATATAACTGGAATCCTTTTGTACAGTTCATTTTACAATTCCATGTACAATCATTCAAAATTGATCAATCATAATGAATCATGATTAAATATAAAAATTGGAACTTATCTGTAGCACATGCTCATGGCAGAAAGAACAACATGGTAGCTCTCAAAAGAAAGTTTTGTATTCTGCGTTGAATCTGTTCTAGCTCTAGTGAGCTTTTGTACCATAGTTTTAAAAACTGTGCAGTAAGTTTACAAAAGAGAAAATACTTGAACAATATATCAGCATTATCAAAGGCAAATAAACAAAATTGTATGACAATAAGTGAAACTGTAGCACATGTTCATGGCAGAAATTACAACATGGTAGCTCTTAAAATAACTTTGTGTATTCTGCAGTTAACGTACTGTGCAGTAGGTTAACATACGAGAAAATACTTGAACAATATTTCAGCATTATCAAAGGCGATATAAAAAAAAAGTATGACAATAAGTGAAACTGTAGCACACGTTTATGGCAGAAAGTACAATATGGTAGCTCTTAAAAGAACTTTGTGTATTCTGCAGTTAACGTACTGTGCAGTAAGTTAACAAAAGAGAAAATACTTCAAAAATATTTCAGCATTATCAAAGGCGATACAAAAAAGTATGACAATAAGTGAAACTTTAGCAGCTGTTGGGATCTGCAATACGTTTCCTGGCTCTCTTATTCTGTATTAGAATAAAAAATATAAAAGTGGTGGACAAAATATTAGTTTAACATATTCATGCTTTGAACTGTACAGAGTGCAAAATTCTATAAAAGTAAAAGTACTGGTGAAGGATGAAGGAGTCAACACTGCAGCAAGTCAATGTAAATGACTGTAACCTTGCAATCTGACTGACATGCTTCTCTCCTTTTGCTTCTCCTCTCTTGCCTTGATTTAATGAACCAATACATTCACTCTCTCCCCTTACCCCACCTTTAAACCCAGCCATCATCAAGAAATAAGGGAGTGAAAGAGAGAGAGAGAGAAAGAGAGATGGGAGGAGAAAGAAGAGAATTGCAGTACGTCTGCATGGTCATTTATCCCAGAACCCCTCCATCAGAGGGAAGCAGAGCAATTATTCCATTTACTCTGTCTAAAGAGATGTACACCAGCCATTTTCTGGTACAACAAAAATACATTTATCTTTTTCAAAGAAAATTCTCCACTCCCTTGGCAGAATTTGTAACAGGCAACCATTTTAAAGCTTCAGACTTTTACCTCACTTTGTTCAGGACGTTCTCCAATATCTCTGTGTAGAAGCCACTCTCTGTAAAGTACACAAGAGTAAACTTTATGACATAGAAATGTAAAACCCATTTTTGAAGTAAATATTGTAGGAGAAATAAATGGTTCAAAAGTTAGCTTAAGAGGTTGTTGTTTTGATTAATGAATATTGTAGAGGTGTCTGCAACAGCATAATTGCAACAAACTGACTTATAATTCCTAAAGACAATGCCCACTGTAAACTACAAACTCAAATTGGTGACATTTGAGACATTAATATTTTTCAGCACTACCTTCACTGTCTGCTTGGATAACTTGAAACTATGTCAACTGTCTCCTGCACTTCGATTGCTAAGGGAACAACCGTCATCAATTCCAGAACTGTGTCGATTGCTGGATGATCTTCTGAAAACCTCTCCGGAATTTGAAGTAGATGCTATGGTAGTAAAAATATGTAAAGCCAGGAATAATATTATAAAGAGAGCACTGTAATATTTTGTAATATAGTAAGCATGATACCTTCATCTTTCAGCTTTGCCGCAGTCAAAACTTAAATATACCGGTACCCATAACCAGGGGAGTGCCACTTACATTCTTTTTTGAGAACTTTTTGAACATATCCTGAAATTGTCATGGCAGCAATGACTTTAAAGTTAACGGTTTTATTGTTTTTGTGATTTTAAACAATTATCAGGGGGGGCAGATACTTTTAACTATTGCAACATCTTCAAAAAATGCAAGCAAACTAGCAGAAACAGCTTAAGGAATAATGTAACAATTATCATGGATTTATAACTTCTTTTTGACCATATCAATACTGTATAAGGGCTTTACGATAATTTATAAGGCATTTTTAGTGAAATCAACATAACGCTAGTTTAACTTACAGCATAGTTATTGTGGTTTGCACATGGGTTGTCCTCTTTGAAGTGGTGTTCACACAGGGAAACAAGACACTGGGAGCATGTACTAAACACTTCATGTAAACATATGAAATGTTGACACATTTGAACTTCAATGAGGCATGTCTATGAATAAAAAGAGAACGTTACAAAAATATAGAAAACAAAGAAAAACTTGAATATCACTTCATCAACTATCTCAGTCTGGTTTATTAATAGGACTAAATAACTAATATCATCGTTGGGGTGACAAAACCTTGTATCTCAAAAATCATGAATTTTCAGGAGAGCGAAAAAACTTTCCTGTCTCAACAAATTTAGTGCTGTGACACCGTCTTTTCTTTTTAAAACTGGAATATTTATACAATTTGTAATGTCATTGTTGAAATACAGTAAAATAATAGTTTTTATATTTAAAAGTGAGTTACAAGGTTTTTGCGTTTATCTACATTGAGATACAAGTTTTTAGTTTTTATTCAAATTGAGATACGAGTTCTTACTTTCAACTCTGAATGAGTATTTGGTTGAATAAGTTACGAGGATTTGAATACACTAACTTCGGTACTGTTAGGCCGTGTGTGAGTTACGAGAAAAAGGGATTACGTATCTTATGTTACGAGGTTTTGTCAGTGCAGCTTCAAAGGGGGTTAAAGTTACGAGGTTTAGTTTAAGGGTGTTTGTGGAATTTGTAAAAAAACAGAGAAGGCGTTCCATGGATTTATCAGGTGGTGTCGTAGGCCATTAGGTACACAAATTGAGATACAAGGTTTTGTCACCCCACTGACGATATATTTAACTTTACTAAATTGAAAATTTGATGAAAACTTTTTTTAAAATGACACTTACTGCATATGAATAAAAGCTAACAATGATCATCAAATAATTTTGGAAAGTATGTAAGCCAACAATGTTTCTTCGTGACATTACTTTTCATTGCTTTACATCTCCATCATAAAGCCTACCGACACTTGGTTGATCTGGTAGAGGTCCATGATGTACAATGAAAATAATTCAGAAATATTCATTTAGACATCATGATACTGTATAGCATTTCAGTTCAATGATTGCTGTCATATTGTTATCAAACCAAACAGAATAGTATGTAGTCCAACACTGTTTCATCAATAGTATCATACATTACCTGTCATTGTGACCCGACATCTCCAACGTCAAGCCTTGGTTGATCTGGTAGAGGTCCATGGTCTACAATGAAAATAATTCAGAAATATTCATTTAGAAATCATGATACTGTCAGGGGCGTCGCTAGACCTTCTTCAGTGGGGGGGGGGTGTAGAGGCCAACGATTACCGACAAAACTAGCCACCAATTACCGACAAAATTAAATGTCCCAATATCTACAAATTTAACCCTATAAACCTGGGGTAAAAATTTTAAAAGTTTTTTTTCATATGAACTATCTATAGTACTTGTGTATGCGCAAATGGTCATTTTCCTCGACGACATAAATATACGAATTATTTCGTCAACTAATTCGGTGGTCACATCCCGCCGTACTTGCAAGTGCGTGCTGTCTACGTGCAAAAACGTGTGCAAAATTTGGGTATCGGTACGTGGTGAGTACCGCCTCCGTACGGATTTGGGAGCACGCAGACACACCGTAGCACTTTTTAGGGAGGGGGGGTAGTGGGCAAGCGTATCATTTTTAATTGGGGGTGGGTGATACGCCTTAGAAAGCTTAGACGTTTCCTTAAATTATTAAGAAAATATGACAATTTATTGTACCATCCTCGACTGTTAATCCGTGTCTGAATTCAGTTTCTCCACCTTCCGCGGAAGCTTTGACGTTTCATTAAATTATGAGAAAAGCAGACGATTCGGTGTACTGTTCTCGACTCTTAATCCTTATCTGAATTCAGTTCTCCCCCTCCCGCGCGAAGCGCCGAAGTTTTGATGTTTCATTTAATTATTAGAGAAAGTAGACGATTCGTTGATATGCTCGACTCTTAATCCTTGTTTGAATGAAGTTTCCCCCGCTCGCGTGAAGCTTGGTAGTTTTGAAGTTTCATTAAATTATTAGAGAAAGAAGACGAATAGTTGGGCGTTTTTTACTCTTAATAAGCCCTAATTATCTGAATTCAGTTTCCTCCTTTAACGCGAAGTGCGAAAGCTTTGACATTTCCTTAAATTAATAGAGAAAGCAGACGATTTGTTGTACCCGGCGTTTGCGACTCTTAATCCTTATCTGAATTCAGTTTTCCCCTCTCGCGCGAAGCGCGGAAGCTTAGACGTTCCCTTAAATTATTCGAGAAAACAGACGATTAGTTGTACCGTTTTCGACTCCGTAATAAGCCCTATTTGTCTGAATTCAGTTTCCCCCTCTCGCGCAAAGCGCGAAAGCTTTGAAGTTTCCTTTAATTTTTAGAGAAAGCAGATGATTTGTTGTACCGTTTTCTACTCTTTATAAGACCTATTTGTCTGAATTCAGTTTCCCACTCTCGCGCGAAGCGCGGAAGCTTTGACATTTCCTTAAAGACCGTCAATACTACTGGGCCAGAAGGGATTAGACCACACAGCGAGGTCACTGAGAGGTGGCTATTTCATTAACTCTCAACTAACATAAGAAAAAGAGGATCATGGGGGACCAACAGGCACCGATTGGGGAAGTTTTCTATAAAGAGGGAGCAAGTAGCTACAGGTAGGACAGTGGGGCTTTACATTATTAGATAAAGCAGACAATTTGTTGTACCGTTCATGACTCTTAACCCTAATTTGTCTGAAATCAGTTTCCCTCCTCCTGCGCTTTCGCGCGGAAGTTTTGACGTTTCCTTAAATTATGAGAAAAGCAGACGATTCGTTGTACTATTCTCGACTCTTAATCCTTTTCTAAATTCGGTTGTCCCCCCTCCCGCGCAAATCGCGGAAGCTTAGACGTTTCCTTAAATTATTAGATAAAGAGGACGATTCGTTCTACCGTTCTCGACTCGTCTAAATTAAGTTTTCCCTCTCGCGCAAAGCGCAGAATTGTTGGCGTTTCATCAAAATATAGAGAAAGGAAGACGATTCGTTGTACTATAGCTGACTCTTTATCCTTGTTTGAATTTAGTTTCCCCGAAAATTTTAAACCTCTGATTTCTTTAGCTGATATTATAGGAAAGTGAAACTTCTAGAAAATACAAGTTTTGTAGTCGTAGTCACTCTCGAAGTCATCGCAGCGGATAAAAAGTCACATTTCGTAGGGAAAAAAACTTGTAGCCGACCGACAATATAAACCTCACCGACTTCAAACTTCTGCATTGATATAGTACACGAGGATCGAGCAAGAATACCGACACAGCTGACCCGACACAGTAACATATTTACTCATGTCTTTCTTGCTCCCTCGACGAGACGACTCCACCCAACAACCCCCTCTTTCTTTTATTCCCACTCCTCCTCTCTCAGGCTCTTACCTCCCCTCTCTCTCCTCTCTTTACCCGCGTTTCTTTTGTTTCCCCCTTTTTTGTTTGTTTCTGTCTTCTCCTTCTTTTCTCTTTTTTCCTCTCCTCCCTCTTTTTCTTTTTTCTCTTTCTTTCTTCTCTTTTTTTCCCTTTCTTTCCTCTCTTTTCCTTTTCTTGTTTTTCTTTTCTTTCCCTCACTTTTTTCCCCTCCCACTTTTCTCTTTTTTCACGAGGGCAGCGCAATTTTACCGACAATATCCTGACAGGTGGGGGGGGTGTCGCGTCCCCCCCCCCCCCTTTGGAGACGCCCCTGGATACTGAATAGCATTTCAGTTCAATGATTGCTGTCATATTGTAATTATCAAACCAAACAGAATAGTATGTAGGCCAACACTGTTTCATCAATAGTATTATACATTACCTGTCATTCTAACACCGACACCGACATCTCCAACGTCAAGCCTTGGTTGATCTGGTATGCTGTCATCATCACTTTCCTCAGACTCATCATCCACTGACAGGACAACTCCCTCCCATCTCCTGCCTTTCCAAGGCATGAAGACTTTTGTCCCTTTTATTGGATTACAGGGACATTGAATATATCTCCATACACTACCACGGTTTTTGGAGCCATCTTCTTTCCACTGAACAAGCAATTCTGTTGTTGGCCCCATGCTGCAGCCTACCTGTGCAAATCCTGACAAAGTGAGGGAAACAAAAGGGTTACATTAATTTTGACTGAAAGTAGATCTAATCCAACTTACAAGCTACTTTACAATTGACCGTCCCCAATACTTGTAGCGGAAAGTAGAAACTTGAGTTCTAGACATGCAACTATCATTTGAGATTGCCCTTGATTAAATTTGAACAAAGCCACTAAAAGACAAAGGTATCAAAATTCAAACCATTCTCCTTTCATATCTGTAGACTACTATCATTTTTGCAAATTTAATTTGAACAATAAAAAGTATTAGACCTCTAGAGTCTAGAATCTGCTTGCACTGTTGCAATTGGTATAATAATACCTGAATACGGTATACTACTAACAATCTGGCATTTATTTAACTAATTTTGTAGATCTACGCTAAGCATGCTTTCAAATTTCAATCCGTACCACTGTCTTTACAAATTGTTGTCTTGTCTCGTCTTTCCATGAGCGAAAAAAACAGTGAAATGATTATCACGGCACATAGATCTATAGATTGACGACTACTCCTACATACTGTACATGTATCTTGATCTAACTGAACAACCTCACACAAACAACATCACATCCCGCACCCAACTCTACCGGAACTGACGTTTTCCCTCGGGACAGCTAGTAACTGCGTGGAACGCACTTTCGAAAATCACCCTCGACTTGGGGCTTGATGCTAGTTGCTAGACCTAGATCTACTTCATATTTGGAGGCCTTCAAGTTCAAGGGAGCGCTTCCATTGCAACCCACTCCAGCAAAGCATAGAGTCAATGCCACTCAACATCCACCCCAGCACAGAGAGTCAATGATAATGCGTAATGACTCTACTTGCCCGTGATACCATATAAATCAATACATGGGGCAACGTATTAATTATCATCATTATACATCGCATTTTTACCCGATAAAATCAAAATATTCTAACGATCCTAATCATAATGTAATCAGTGTGACCAAATATATCAAATCTTCCAGATAATTTGACATTTACAACACGTTATTTAAAAGAAGAAGCAGTTATTTTGCTTACCACAGGCCTAGCAGACGTCAGCTTCGCGATAACGCCCTTCTGCTTTGATCAAAATTTACGCTCGCGCCTAATATGCAAAGGGCGTAGAGGGCTTACGCCCTTCTGCTTAGCGCGATATCTAACAGTTTGTGCTAACGCCCTTTTACTATTGTCGATTACGTAATCATTTACTTCGTTTTATGCCATCTCGATCACATCATTTGAAAGAGCTTTGAAAACTCTATTAAATGACATGAAATATCAAAAATCGATTTTTGACCTGAAATTCGAGCTAACGCCCTTCTGCCAGCCGTGCGACGACTTTTTGCGATCGGGGGCGGGGGAACTGAATTCAGACAAGGATTTTTTTATTTTTTATTTTTTTATATTTTTTATTGGGTACTCAAACATAACATGAAAGCCAACTGGCTGTTTACAATCATGTACAAGAATGTGAAATGACAAAAACATCATATAGTCCACTACAACTCAAATATAAACTTTTTAAAATGGAGGCTTAACTTGCCATATTTGGCTGCAATTACATATTCAGATTTAGACTTAATTTTTATCCAAAATATAAGACCATGAAAATTTGGTTTCTCTTTCTTAAATTTGCAGCAGTGAATGTAGAACCTGGTACACAAAATAAAGAAATTTATACATATTGAATTTTGATAGTCCTTGGGACAACCAAACATTCTTTCAAAATCCGAAAAATAACTTCTTTTTTAAGTTTTGAAGATAGAGAATGCAGACAAGGATTAATAGTCGAGGAGGTACAACGAACCGTCTTTTATAATTTATTGAAATGTCAAAGCTTCCGCGCGGGAGGGGGGGGGGGGGGGTACTGAATTCAGACAAGTATTAAGAGTCGATAAATGTAATCGAATCAACTTCTTACCCTAATAATTTAATGAAATGTCAGAGCTTCCACGCTTCGCGCTGGAATGGGGGGGGGGGGGGGGTCACTGAATTCAGACAAGGATTAATCATCGAGAACGGTAAAACGGATTGTTTTCTTTCTCTAGTAATTTAATGAAATGTTAAAGCTTCCGCGCTGGAAGGGGGGGGGGGTCACTGAATTCAGACAAGGATTAAGAGTCGAGAACGCTACAACGAATCGTCTTCTTTCTCAAATTATTAAATGAAATGTTAAAGCTTCCGCGCTTGAGGGGGGGGGGGGAGACTGAATTCAGACAAGGATTAAAAGTCGAGAACGCTACAACGGATCGTCTTCTTTCTCTAATAATTTAATGAAATGTCAAAGCTTCTGTGCGGGAAGGGGTGGGGGCTGAATTCAGACAAGGATTTATTGTCGAGAACGGTACAACGAATCATCTTCTTACTCTAATAATTTAATGAAAATGTAAAAGCTTCCACGCTTCGCCCTGGAGGGGGGGGGGGGGGGGGGGGCCAGAATTCAGACGAAAGATTAATAATCGAGAACGGTACAACGAATCGTCTTCTTTCTCTAATAATTTAATGAAATGTTAACGCTTCCAAACTGGAGGGGGGGGGGGGGGAACTAAATTCAGACAAGGATTGAGAGTCGAAAACGCTACAACGAATCGTCTTCTTTCTCTAATAATTTTAATGAAATGTCAAAGCTTCCGCGATGGAGGGGGGGGGGGGGCTGAATTCAGACAAGGATTAAGAGTCAAGAACGCTACAACGGATCGTCTTCTTTCTCTAATAATTTAATGAAATTAATGTCAAAGCTTCTGTGCGGGAGGGGGGGGGGGGACTGAATTCAGACAAGGATTTATTGTCGAGAACGGTACAACGAATCATCTTCTTACTCTAATAATGTAATGAAAATGTAAAAGCTTCCACGCTTCGCCCTGAAAGGGGGGGGGGGACAGAATTCAGACAAAGATTAATAATCGAGAACGGTACAACGAATCGTCTTCTTTCTCTAATAATTTAATGAAATGTTAACGCTTCCAAGCTGGAGGGGGGGGGGGGGGGAACTGAATTCAGACAAGGATTAAGAGTCAAGAACGCTACAACGGATCGTCTTCTTTCTCTAATAATTTAATGAAATGTCAAAGCTTCTGTGTGGGAGGGGGGGGGGGGGGATTGAATTCAGACAAGGATTTATTGTCGAGAACGGTACAACGAATCATCTTCTTACTCTAATAATGTAATGAAAATGTAAAAGCTTCCACGCTTCGCCCTGAAGGGGGGGGGGGGGGGACAGAATTCAGACAAAGATTAATAATCGAGAACGGTACAACGAATCGTCTTCTTTAATAATTTAATGAAATGTTAACGCTTCCAAGCTGGAGGGGGGGGGGGGGGGAACTGAATTCAGACAAGGATTAAGAGTCAAGAACCGTACAATGAATCGTCTTCTTTATCTAATCATTTTAATGAAACGTCAAAGCTTCAGCGCGGGACGGGGGGGGGGGGGTACTGATTTCAGACAAGGATTAAGAGTCAAGAAGGGTACAACGAATCGTCTTCTTTCTCTAATAATTAATGTCAAAGCCTCCGCGTGGGACGGGGGGGGGGGGGCGGGCTGAATTCAGACAAGGTTTAAGAGTCGAGAACGCTACAACGAATCGTCTTCTTTCTCTAATAATTAAATGTAATGTTAAAGCTTCCGCGTTGGAGGGGGGGGGGGGGACTGAATTCAGACAAGGATTAATAGTCGAGAACGCTCTCTTATAATTATATTTCTCTTATAATTTAATTAAATGTAAAAGCTTCCACGCTTCGCCCTGGAGGGGGGGGGGGGGCAGGAACTAAATTCAGGCAAAGATTAATAATCGAGAACGGTATATAACGAATCGTCTTCTTTCTCTAGTAATTTAATGAATATCAAAGCTTCCACGCTTCGCGCTGGAGGGGGTGGGGGCTAAATTTAGATAAGCATTAATAGTCGAGAACGGTACAACGAATCTTCTCTCTCTAATAATTTAATGAAATGTTATATTTCCACCTTGGAGGGGGGGGGGAGGGGGGACTGAATTTAGATAAGCATTAATAGTCGAGAAAGGTACAACGAATCGTCTTCTTTCTCTAGTAATTAAGGAAATGTCATGCTTCCGCGCGGGCCGGGGGGGGGGGGGGTGAATTCAGACAAGGATTAAGAGTCGAGAATGGTTATATGAATCGTCTTCTTTCTCTAATAATTTGATGAAATGTTAACGCTTCCGAGCTGGAGGGGTGGGGGAACTGAATTCAGACAAGGATTGAGAGTCGAGAACGCTACAACGAATCGTCTTCTTTCTCTAATAATTTAATGACATGTCAAAGCTTCCGCGCGGGAGGGGGGGGGGGCTGCATTCAGACAAGGATTAAGAGTCAAGATCGGAACAACGAATCGTCTTCTTTTCACTAATAATGTAATTAAATGTCAAAGCTTCTGCGCGGGAGGGAGGGGGGGGGGGGGGACTAAATTCAGGCAAGGATTAGGTGTCGAGAAAGGTACAATGAATCGTCTTCTTTCTCTAATAATTTAATGAATACTTTTTGTCACTAAACAGAGATCCATATTCGACTATTCATTAAAATACTGCAGAAAAGGGATCTAATTCTAAATCACGACTGAGATAATTCGCTATCATGACTGGTATCGTGATCTGAGCATTGCGAACTAATGACTCCTCAATCATACCGATCATACAAAATTTAAATAAAATTGCTGAATTTTAGAATCAAATTTTTGTATCATTGCTTCAACTTACGAAAAAATAAACATGACAAGTAGGGCCTATTTCAAACAGGCACATCACAACCACACAAACAAGCAACAAAATAGGCCTACGCCGCGAATAGATCGATGAGCTCGAAATGACTCTAGACAGATTAGTTTCGCATTATTATGATTAGAATTATTTTATAAAAAGAATCATAGGTATTAAATAAATAACTTGATACTTTATCGTCTTTATTAACAATTGATTTTCACATCTGTCCCAATTTTGACTCTCGTAGACTTCCCCCATCAATCTATTCTCTCGCTCCCTCCCTCCCTCCATCTTCCAAGTGTACCCCTTCCTCTCCCTCTCCCTCTCTCTTGTCTCCATCTTTCCTCATGTTTGTTTATCAACACCCAAGGAATTGCGCGTAGGGCCTTTGTTCAAACAAAGTTCAAGGGTTCAAATGGGCGGCATTTTGTCTCCTCTCATTCAAATCTCAAAATAGAACTCCAGTTCATAATTGCGCAAGATACCTCTCATCCAAACATAAAGAAAAGGTTTAGATTTTAATGGGTCAAGATTTACGTGCCGATACGTCTTTTTTACACGAGGTCGTGGACAGAATTGAGGTTAGATTTATCATGGAATGTGTTGATAAAACCCAAGCAATCTATATTTTGCATACTTAGATCTATAGCTTGAAATTAAATTGTGAGCAAATAAACTTTACTATTGTAAAACCCATCGATCTATTGCTTGGAATTAAAACTAATCAGGAATAATCTCAATCACATTGCTCTGCAATTCCAACGCTAGCTAGCTCGCTCACTCCATTCGGCTTGCGCCTATATTACACCATGCGCGGAGCTAGCCAACGTGGCTAGCGAGTACTAGCGGCTCACTAGTATCTTCAGCTAGCGCATCCTTTTATGATTGCTGCGCATGTGCGCATTGACATTCGTCCTCCTGCGTGGCGATGATTTCAATCTAATAATTAAATTTGGAGACTTGCAGTCAGGCAAAATGCGCGTACCAAATTCGTCCTCTTGCGTCGCGACGATTTCAATTTAACAATTATATTTGGAGACTGCAGTCAGGCAAAGTGCGCGTACCAAATCAGCGCCGAGCGTTCCATGCAGGATCCTGCATCGGAACGACAGCAATAATAAATATCTCATGCCTTAATTATCATTATTATTATTACTTGGAGATTGTTTTGTGAGGGGTAACTTGGGTGGGGATAGTTTTCAAATGGGCAATGGTTCTTTCAACGGTAGTTGTCTGTGGATATTTGTGTGTGTGTGTGTGTGGGGGGGGGGGGGAGGGGTATCCAGGGATGTTCTACATCTTGTGCTCCGACGATAATTGCTCAGTAGTCAATTTCTAACATGAACCAAATCTTAGACTTGACTTTTTATATATGCCACATAAATAATCTACCTGGGCCACACTGTATTTATCATGGATAGACATACCAAAGGCTGCAAGATTATTGAATTGTTTCCAATTATACAAGATTATTCTATAGTAATGTTAAAATAAGACTTGTGATGGAGCTAATCTACACTGGAAATGCACATTTTTTTCAAAGCCATTGCGTTACGCAAAGCAATCTTTCCATTAACTATAGTGCCCGTTTTTCTGTGCAAAATTACGCTAGTGGCAAACAAGGAACAGTGCAGAGAGACAAAGAAAGCTGAAGTGTACTACCCATAAACCTAACCCTAACCCTGACCCTTACCAAAATCCAACCCAAAGCCCAACTGACCCCTAATCCTGACCCTAACCCTAGACGTGTATTCTAGACGCAAACGGCGTTGGAGCATGTGTCAAATCACCATGTCATAGTTGTCCGATCTAGTGCACCTTTACTACTTTGGGGTCTGAATAAGCAGACTATAGGGGCTCTCTCACAGACTACACAGAGAAATCCTGTAGAAGTTCAATGCATGTGTAATGTGATTTAGAAAGCTGTGTGGATTACTTGGCGAATGTATTCACGAATGTATTCATGGACGGAGCAAGCCGTTCTTCTACCCCCAAGTACATTGCATGTTCCACATTCCATCATGTACTATGTACTTGCAAATTTATACACATTTCCTGCGGAGTGAGGCTACAATTTTGACGATAGGCCTGTCCTCATCAGCTCAAGTTTTAACCCCTGTTTTAACTATCTCGATCGCAATTTAACCAGTTAACCAGTTTATTTGCGTCTTCATCAGCCTGCAGTTGCAATTAGCGGGATATTTGGTCAAGAAATAATCCTAAGAAATCTTGGTCTTGTTACCAAAATATCCTGATATTTAGGAAATAGCGGAGTAATTACGGCCCGTTCGAGCTAGTTTGTGATGAGCGTATCGGTCTGGTGAGGACGCAATTCCGAGCCTCAGGCAAATATCCCGCTAATTGCAACTGCATGCTGATGATGACACAAATTAACTGGTTAATTTGCCATCGGGATAGTTAAAACATAGCGGGTTATTTGGCAAACTCAAGCTGATGAGGACAGGCCCAAATCCTGCCCGATAGGTTCTAGCAAAAGTTGTGAGGAGCTGGCTATACATGGTCTGATGTGAGACAAAGAGGCGTTAGCTCTGTGTTAAAGTATATATGAGTTAACACCCTTCTGGCTCCAAACAGACGACACATGGGCTGCACAAGGCACATGTACTTTGTTCTATTTGTGTCCTTGTTGCCACCAAGTGTAAAATGCAGAACTTGATTTACATTTATGTCATTTACATAAAATATCAATTCAGCTAATCTAAAAATGTATTTATGGCATCATGATTTTTTTGTATACAGGTATCTGTATCTGTCCTTGATCTAAATCACCTACATGTAGATGTAATCTCTTGTATGTGTATTACTGTATACCCATTAACAATGCCGGAAAACCAATTTAAAAAAAACATTCAATTTTTTAACTACCATTTTGCTTGAAAAGTCTGTGGATAAATTCATATAGCGCAATACTAGTGAAATTGTCATCATTGTTGACTGATAAACATGTTTTGTTATTAAATCAAGCTGGAAATTGATTTATTTATGTCACACTTCAGTTGTGAAAGTTTTTTTATTGTTGAAAATTAGATTGTTTTTCTTGCAATGTTACCTGTGTACAATAGCACTGATTTTTTATTTTATTTTTTTTTTTTTAAACCAATTTTTGTAATAATCAGTATTAAAAATGAACAATTTCTACCAGATTAATATGGCATATAAATAGCATCTGTTGAAGTATTTTCAACCTGCGGTTAAGATTTCTTAAGACTTTGTTTCAATTTATATTTTCATTATTCCTGAAATATCATGGGATTCTTTAAGAACTCACATCTTAACAAGCTCTTCAAGGCAAGATTAACTTAATAATTAATGTTAAAATTCAGATTTAAATGCCTGAATCCAGCCCCAATAGAAATACAAGTACTGCAATTCGAGACACTTAAAACTATTAGTGCCTGACTTAAAGCCCCACTGCACTACTTACAGCTACCTGTGCCCTCTATATAGCAAACAATGCCTTATCGGTGCCTGTTGGTCCCCCATGATCCTCTTTTCTTTTGTTAATTAAGAGCTGATTTGATGAGATAACCACTTGTCAGTGACCTTGCAGGGAGGTCTAACCCCCTGGCCAAACTAGTACAGACATGCTTTTGCAGTGACTACGTAGATGTATGTTGCTCACACGGAGCTTGTATGATAAGATAATGTGACGTCAACATTACATAGGGACTGCAATATGTTCCCATAATTGACTTGGGATTGAACAGGTGAAAGTGTTAAAGGTAAAGACCAGTTATGGTCATGCGATTGCATTGTGAAAGAAACGTTGTGGAATCGATCAGAAAAGGTTGATCATCTAGCGTATTGGTGTGTACGGCAAGGTTCTGGAATCATCAAAATGATAAGAAATTTGGCCCAGTCTTGGTAAAGTTACAAGCACTGTACACAGAAATATGTATATGGGACTATACAAACATATGGCATAAAAATCTGTCACAATTTTTATGCTGTTACATGCCATATTTAGAATATTGAGGCATTTTTGTTTTTAACATTTTGTTATCTGATATACTTCCACACGTGCATAATAACAATGATAATGCTCACAAATTATTTTTCACCTCTTCCCAGAACTCGACCTTCTCTTTAAATGGGCACATGAAGAAATAAGCTCAAATCTCTGTTGTACATTGTCGGAACATGCAGTAATGATTTTGCTTGTCTGTTTTTCTACATACAGCATCCTATGCCGGGGCCTAAAGGAGTGTATGTACAACGACAGACTAGGAGTCCTGCTCAAGTAGTTAGTCCAACCGCTTTCACTGCCAGATCACCACAACCTCAGGTAAGAATTAAGTAACCCTTGTGATGATGATAATCATGATAATTATTATCATCCTCAACTTTGTCATCATTATCATCATCATTGTGAGTAGAACATTATTCCTACATGTACTTGCAGGTCTAAAGGAGTATATGTATGACAGCCTGGGAGTCCTGCACAATAATCATAATTATTATTATCACCATCGTCATCATTATCATATTCGTAATCATAACGCTGTCCTCAACCTCCTCCTCTTTCTCTTCATCTCCCTGCTCCTCTTACTCCTTTTCCTCCTCCTCCTCTTACTCCTTTTCCTCCTCCTCCTCTTACTCCTTTTCCTCCTCCTCTTACTCCTTTTCCTCCTCCTCCTCTCCATCCCTCCTCCTCCTCCTCCTCCCCTCCTCCTCCTCCCCCTCCTCCCCCTCTTCCTCCTCCTCCTCCTCCTCCTCCTCCTCCTCCTCCTCCTCCCCCTCCTCCTCCTCCTCCTCCTCCTCCTCCTCCTCCTCCTCCTCCTCCTCCTCCTCCTCCTCCTCCTCTTCCTCCTCCTCCTCCTCCTTCTCTTCCTCCTCCTCCTCCCCCTCCTCCTCCTCCTCCTCCTCTTCCTCCTCCTCCTCCTCCCCCTCCCCCCTCCTCCTCCTCCTCCCCCTCCTCCTCCTCCTCCTCCTCCTCCTCTCCTCCTCCTCCTCCTCCCCCTCCCCCCTCCTCCTCCTCCTCCTCTTCCTCTCCTCCTCCGCCTCCTTCTCTTCCTCCTCCTCCTCCTCCTCCCCCTCCCCCTCCTCCTCCTCCTCCTCCTCCTCCTCCTCCTCCTCCTCCTCCTCCTCCTCCTCCTCCTCCTCCTCCTCCATTACTCCTCCTCCTCCTCCTCCATTACTATCATCAACATTGCATTATCGCAAAAGGTACTAATAGATCATAATTATACAGAGATATATATATATATATATATATATATATATATATATATATACCATATATGGCAAAGGACAATTGATTTGCCAAAGCAGGGCGTGATCGACATATGATATTAACATAAAACATGCAGTTGTAGAGATATGATACATGGTTCAATGAGATAATATATATGAGATGATTACATTTCAGAAATAATAACTAAATGGAAATACTTCTGATTAAATCAGTCTATTATCATAATCATCTTTATCACATTATGGTAACCATTCTCCTCTTCCTCCTTATGATCCATATCCCTCTCTTTCTTATCTTCCTCCTCCTCCTCCTCCTCATCATCATCACTATCTTACCATTGCATCATCATGAATATTCTTATTAAATCATCCCATCTTTATCATAATCATCTTGATCGCATCATGATAACTATATTCTCCTCCTCCTCCCCTCCCTCCTCTGCCTCCTGTTCTTTCTCATCATCATCTTCATCATCATCATCATCATCATCATCATCATCATCATCATCATCATCATCATCATCATCCATGATGATGGTGACGATGATCCTTATCTTCAATACTAACAGTGTGCACCTTTATTTAAGGGATTCTACGTTTCCTAACCTTTTCAAGTTTCACTCCTATTGCCTTAAAAAAACATTAACAAAATACCCAACGAGAAATACTCTTCCAAGCACGTGTACATGTACCTAATATGTGCAAGAATTTCAATAGTCCCATGTTACATTGTCATTAGCCTCCCTAGGGCAGCTCATGAACATCATGAACCTTTAGGCAAAACATGAACATTTTTCTCTTACATCATTTCATGTGGAAATGAAATAATTCTTTTTCGACTGATCGATTAGTCTGGATTATGAAATCTAGGTTACAAATTTGAGTTGACATCGGGCAGGCCTTGATGGGTTCGTTGGGGTGGGATCGTGGTAAGAATTAGGACATGTTTCCTGTGCTTCCATGGTAGCCATTTTGTTGTTCTATGAGATGCAAAGTCATGCAATATCAATATCAATTTCATCTACTTGCAGCCAGAAGGCCGTTAGCTCACAGTCAATTGCCTTCTGGCTCTTAAAGCTGATATTCTAAGCAAATAAATGTCCCTTAATTTGGTACATACGGCAAGCATATGTTATTTATATGTTTTTCAGTTACATAGTACATGTATACCACAACAAAATTCTGGCTACTCAAAATCCCTAATTGAAATGTCGAAAATATCCGCCTCTCTTTGCATATAAAATCAGACACAGCGCTGGTCTACTACATGTATATATGACATCACGTCCGGGAAAGAGAATATTCACGTACCCGGATGTTCCATAGAAAGCATGTGCAGAGTGATACGATTTTCTGCTTATTTTTGTTTCAAAGGCTGAAAAGTCTAATAAATCATAATTCTATGTACAATTCTTTACCTTCCCCTAATAGTTCCTTCATCTTCTTCCATGCTGTGCATTAATTGTGCAATCTACCAACTCTGACACCGGTAGTCAGGAGCAAGTCTTTGTTAGTTGTTTTTCTTAGCCTGTAAGCATCGCTTTCATTCTCTTGCAATTGCCGATAAACATATAACTAGCGCACGTACGTTCCATCACAAGCAAGCCGCGCTAGAGCAGCGGCCTGGTCTTTCCTCCTGATTCTGCTTGCTTCACGAACGTTCGTGCAAGAGCCGCATATCACTCGCGGATGAATATCGTTCGATCACTAGACGTTGTCAAAATATTATAGAGGAAGCGCGCTTGCATGATCTCGTTCAAGTTTGATATTTTACAACATAACATGATTAACTGGTAATGTATCCTTTTTTGAGGCAGTCACACACATCTATGATAAGTACTATCATAGTTCTAGGCCTATTCGTTTTACAAAACTGCTCCTGTACCTTATCTGATGACAAGATAATGCATCCGCCTACGTGCATGATTTAACCTTGTTTCCCAAGCAGTAAACTTGTCTTAAATCTCTACCAAATAAGTGAATATGAGGATATAAAAAGAAATCAGCGACTGGAAAATGTAGCTTTGTTATTCTTCATTCAAATGAAAACAGAAAATCCATCAAATATACTCATTAACAACAACAAATCGAAGCTCTGACAGGATAGCATTTACGTAGGGATATCACTACCATTCACTCTCACTGAGCCCATGAGTCTCGTTCGTGACGTCACGGATAGAGGCCCGACTCTACATGCACTTCCGGGTTTCAGACTTATAGAGTTTGGTAGAGTTTACTCGCATAAATTCACCATTCTAAACTTATTTTTGTCAGTTGGACACCATTTAGTGTTATTCTGCGGGTTAAAAGCTTACTATTGATGTAATTATCTCAATATTTGGGATTGTCTTAGAATATCAACTTTAACAGATGATATCATGTCATTGCTGATTCACGATGAGCTTTTGTGTCATCCCCAAATGTAATGATTTTGCATTATCAAAGGGCAATTTTTCATCAATTTGGGATCATTCAAAATGATGGCAATATGGTGGAATTTCATTTTGGAATTGACTATTGCAAGAACCTCTTAGTTATGAGAAAAGAGAAGTGATTGTGTATTCAGGCCTTAAATTTCGTCATTTTTAGGGCAAGGCCAGTTTGGCCTTGAGTACCTCATATTTTTAAGGGCACCAAGGCCAAAATATTTTTACAAAAAGGGCATCGAGGCCAAAATATTTTACAAAAAGGGCATCGAGTATGAGGCCAAAAAAATTGATTCTATTTTTGTTAGATGTCATGTGTATTTTATGAAACTTGTGCGGGATCAATTTCCCATGACTTTTAGCACCAGCTTCTTCACAGAATGTATAGAGGTCTACGGTACATACAAACAAGGCGACGGCCCGCAAGCCTTAGATTTAGCAGCCAGGAGCAAGGGGCAATTTTTTTTTTAAGTTGCCCTTTGCCACGGGAATTTACCAGAGCAAGGGGCAATTTTCCAAAAAGAGATAGGCCCCCTTATCTAATCATAAGTTCAAAGAGAGTCTACAAATGTTAATTTCATAATGTGAATAGATCGAACGATCAATTTAATAACTTTTTAATCTTAACAATATGAACAGGAAAGATTGATTAAGAACATCAAACTTGCACATTGAACAGTATTTTAAAGTAACTAAAAATATTGATGAGCAAATGAATAAATAAATTGTCAATTTCACAAACACGAAAGTCAGAAGGACTTGGCAAGTTTACCGGGCCGGGTATCCCAAATCAAAATCGCACCTCACACACAAACCTTCCGCCACTCTCTCGGTAGTAGGTAGGAGCAAATTTGAAGAAATTATCTTTTTAACTGTTGTATAGAAAGGTCTAGATAGGCCTAACTAATGAAATAAGATGTAAAAATGTCCTTATAGACATTCGACAGCTGAAAGTGACACGCTCAGCTCAGTTGCGTAACGTGCATTCAGGAAACCAAAATCGTTCCTCGCACACACACTCTCGCCACTTTTGGTGGGAAGCTGTCGGGCTGGAAGTTTGCCAGCGAAACCGATGCACCCTCGGAGATTCGCAGCGCGTAATTTTACCGGGACTCGAAACGTTCGTCTTGGGAAGCTGGCGGGGTAGCTTTTTGAAGCGAGGTCGGCTGGTGGCAAAATGAGAGTAACTACGATCGAGAACATCGTAGGTGTTCTTAACTTATTAATAAGATAATTCTAAATTCTATTTGAGATAAAATAATAAACTAGACCTACAAACAAACCTCGACAGATCTCTAATGACTATTTGAATGCTTGTTTATTTCTCCATTTGACGATTTGTTTTCTTGATCCTGGCCTTCGATTTGTACGTACGTACGTACGTGCGTGCGTCAACAGCATGCACCATATGCATATCATGCGATCGCGTGATTGTACGTGCGCTAGCGCATTGCCTATATAATAACAAAGGGCGCATTTTCACGGCACTTGCGCCTTATTAAAGCACTAAATACGAAGCTAGAAGAGAGCTCGTGGGCGGCAGACTATTCGTGATTCGTGTATTTTTACTGTTCTAATAATTTATGGGCGCATTTTCACGGAAAACACTTGCGCCTTGCCGTCTAGTTTTAGATGATTATGGGCGCAATTGGTGGTTTTATGTGCGCAAATTTAAAAAAAAGGGGCACGTCCAGTTGGAAAAAAAGGCACGTCGGCCAGTTTGAAAAAAAGGGCACGGCCTTTTTGGCCGTGAATTTATCTTTTTTTGGGAGGGCACCGCGGCCAGTCACAGGGGCATCGACGGCCTGGCCGTCGATGGCCGTCGATTAATTTAAGGCCTGTGTATTTGAGGTTTTGGATTCATCAAACTCATTGCAAAATTAACCTTCCCTGTATCTAGCTGGGGAAAAAAACACTGCACAGTTACGGAACTACATGATTGCATGAAGTAATTTGGGTTAAAGGTGCAGGGTATATTTCATTGAGTTATTAAAACATTTGAAGAGAAATCCATGTTACATATTTCAGCTTTGGTATTAATAAAGCTTCATGGTTTTCAAGGAAAATATGTATGAATAAATTGAAGCCAATTTCTTTCAGAATTAGTCTTGAGCCAAAGTATTCCCTATGAAGAATAATATAACCAGTCTTAAGTTGGCCTTAGCGAAATGTTGAAAGATTTTGATGTCACAGGATTGAAACATCAGTTATGATAAATGATAAATCTATATCACCACCTAGCAAATGTTTTATAATACAGGCCTATTCTAGTATAGAATTTTTGTAGATGAAGAGAAGACAAAAATCAAGAAAGAAAACAAAGACGGGGATTTCCCAAAGTCTCTATTAATCTTGGTGTATGCCATACAAGCATGAATCTATGCTTATCTAGTGCAGCTGACAGCTATAAAGTTATTGGCATTGACATTGTGTTGTTCTTTAATTAGTGCCATTAACATTGTGTTATTCTTTATAATGTTATTTTTTAGAGTGTTGTTCTTTCATCACTTTAAACAAAAAATCAGTTGCTTAATTGGTAGATTTAAGCTGCAACATTTGTTTGGTCTAGAGACTCCCAAATCAATGTTGGACAGATATGATAACAGGAATACTGAAGAGAAAAAAGTGGTTGTGTTTTATCTGTGCTGTGCTTCTTAATGGTATAGCGCCATCTTGTGTCAGAGAACATAATATTTTGTGAGTAGAGCCTTAGGAGTAGGCACTCAGGAGAAAAACAGAAATTAATGACATTTCTGTTCACAACAAACAGAAGAGTTGTCCATGGCTGCGTCAAAATCCATAGTGATTTCATATTTCAATAATTAATAAATCTTATTATTGGTCCAATTTATTTCAAACTTTCATCATTCAGTTTCTCCTATTTTGGGCTTTCAAAGAAATGAACTTATTACCAGGTTTGGATTGCCCTTTAAAGCCCAAGTCCACTCCAAAAATAACTTACTTTCAATAGAACCAGAAAAATCAGACAAACCAATCAAAAAAAGTTTGAGCAAAATCGGATAACTAATAAGGAAGTTATGAATTTTTAGTGACATGAAAAACTTTGAAAATCACTACACAAATTGGCAACTCACTCATGAGTCTGTGACGTATGGTCTTCACTATCTACTAATTATTTTCTTTATATTGATAATATAAATTTCCTATTTTCCCCCTAAGAATCTTATTTCTTCAACCCAGCATCCAAGTTTAATGAAAAGTAATATGTTTTTGTGTGGATGCACAAATAAAGAGTAATTTTTGTCCAGTTCAATCATGAAAAATCGAATTTTGATAAACTATTTATATAAAAATCAATAATTATCAAATACAATATTCAGAAAATAGCATCGATTCTTCAAAATTCATAAAAGTTTTTGAGAAATATCATGCACGCAATATGATACAAATCATATAACCTGGGCAAAGGCATGGAGAAATCAAGTTTTGGGAGATAAAAAGGGAAATTAATGGTATTAAACTATATAAAGCAATTGATAAGTTGTGAGGACATGACGTCACAAACTGATAACCATCTTGACAATTTGTGTTGTGATTCTCATTGTTCCATGGTTTTACATACTTTTTCAAAAATTCATTACTTTCTTATTGGTTATCCGATTTTGCTCAAACTTTTTTGATTGGTTTGTCTGATTTTTCTGCTTTTATTGAAAGTAAGTTATTTTTGGAGTGGACTTGCCCTTTAAGGGCCACCTTTTCCTTCCTTCTTACTCTTTATATACAGTTTGACAGCATGCAGATGAATTAATATATGGAGTTGGATGAATCAATTCATGGATTTGTAAGCATTTTAATACAGGAAATTCAAAATCCTCATTCCTCAGACCCTTCATGATGAATTGATGATATATCGGAGTGATCCCATATTATTCCAAACTTTTGTTTTATCATCCCCTCAGCAACCTAGACCAGCCTTCCAAGTGGTCCGGCGGAACACTTCTTCCCCGCAAGCCCACCACGGCATATGGCCCAACGCCAACCTGGCCTCGCCTCCTCCGCCCAGCACGCAGGGTCCCGGTTGGCACCAATACTTCCGGCCGACGCCCGTTAGCCCCACCATGCAGAGGTACCCCCCTCCGCCCCCTCACCAGCAGCAGCACCAGCAGCAGCAGTCGCATCCTCAGTCTCACCCTCAGCCTTATCCTGTCTACTCTAGTCCGCCAATCGTCAGTAATGTAAGTCAGACCGCTTTGATACCATCAATTTATTAACCTGTTTAATACTATAAATGCTAAGCCTGAAATAACTTTGGCTTGAGTCTTGATTGCCTGGAAGAAGGTCGTTACTACCATCAACAATCTATAGCTCTAGCTGGGTATTGTGGCTAGGTCAGACCTTAAAGCCCGTCTGCACTAGTTTGGCCAGGGGGATTAGACCTCCACACAAGGTCACTGACAGGTGGTGGTCCCATCAAATCAGCTCTTAATTAACATTAGAAAAAGAGGATCATGGGGGACCAATAGGTCCAGATTGGGCATTATGTACTGTAGAGGGCGCAAGTAGTGCAGTGGGGCTTTAATGGTAATACAACTGTTGGTTCTGTCAATCAAGCACTATGGATCGATACTGCCTCCTTCCCTTCTTCTGCCTCTGATATGACATCAAAGGAATACAATTACTGGCTCCCAGATATAATTTTTTCCGGTTTGTTAAAATAAATTGCTCTTCAAGCGCTTCCAAGAAGACAGCAATATCATTGAGGGAGGCACATCGTCATAAATCATCATTGTCTGACTTATTTTGAGTCATTGTCTGATTTATTTCGCACATACACTAGAGGAGCAAATTGGTTATGATTTATTATTATATTCATCATTACATTTATCAGTCCTAACTATTAAAACTTGTTGCCTGTTTGCTAACAGAGAGGTTTAACAGCCATTATACAAGACATGGTTTCCTTTTTTTTTGCAATGGACTGACACACTTCATCACCACTGTTGTACAGTTGTACAGTTTGAACTTGATTGTTTCATTTCTTAAAAGGCCCAACCTGGGCGCATAGAAGAAATACAGATGAATGTTTTACAAAAAAGACAGTTTGATCTGCTGTTTCACTGCCAAAAGGACATTACAGCCATTTACAACACATAACATTAGTGTCCTTTTTGCAGTGAGCTGACACAGTTATCACCAGACCCTGCTGGTTTAGTAGTCACATTTCGCTGTCGGCATGCCATAATAGCAGGGTATGGAACCATTCATCCTTTCCTCTCTCAGGTTTTAACGACTTCCGCTTTCCGGAGATTCAGTCCCATGTCAGTAGCAGAGAATCTGTAGGCGTTTTAATAAAACAAGAAATATTACACAATATGTATGTTCGCACAAGATCATTGTAGTTTAGGACTCTACTGTAAGTTTGCATCTTTTGGGAAACTTCAGAGCTTTAAACAAAGATGCACTAGGTTCACAGTCCCATGTCAGGAGCAGAGAACCTGTAGGTGTTATTATTTTGTCCTTGTTTTCACGAAGTGACGATAGTGAGGAAAATCGTAACGCAAAGTGAATGCAATTTTTTTTTCACTACCGTCACTTCGTGAAAACAGAGACGATTTAAACAAGAAATACTACACAATAGCGATGTTCACACAAGATCATTGTAGTTCAAGACTCTACTGTAAGTTCGCATCTTTGGGAAACATCAGAGTTTTAAACAATGACGCACTAGGTTCACATGTATTCAGAGTTTACACTACAAGATGAACAAACAGATATTATACAATAATAATAATATTTAATTTTTATATAGCGCTTAATATAAAGCATGATGTCTCTAAGCGCTTTACAAATATACAGGCTGGCGACCTGAAAGCTATAACTGCATGTCTATAGCACGGAACTCAGTAATGACAACCCCCTCCCCACCCCCCCCCCCCCCCCCCCCCCCCCAAAAAAAAAAACAAAACAACAACATCAAAACAGCGATATTTTAGAAAAAAGGCTTTTTGAATAGAAATCTTTTGTAATAATCACAGGTCAACTGGAGGGTAAACCTTAGTTTGCATCATATAGGCCTAATTTGTGATAGAGGAAGTGTTCTCATTTCAGTCAATTCAATCCTTGTCAACAGTTGACAATGACTTTTGGTGAGAAATTTCCCAATTCTGGATTATTTTTTTTGCACCTCGTAATCAATTATTATGTGTTCCTAATACTCCTGCTTGTATATAAATGTAAAGGTTAAATTATTTGATTGTGAAAAAGGAGTTTGGATAGAATGATTTTCAGGATAGAATGATTTTCAGTGATTAAAAAAAGAAGATAGATTTTTTTTAAACAGAGAATTCAAATGCTTTCCATAGCTATGAATTTCTCAAAATGCATTGAAAGTATTTTAATATTTAAATTGAAAGGCAAAAAAAAAAATAGATATCCAATTTATTACATGCACATGAAGGTTTCATATCCTGCTAATAATAACACTACTTCCCTATTTAAGTTCCTATAGACCAAAAATAAAAAAATTGCTTCAAATTTCTCTACTTTCGATGTATCAGAAGCCTGGAATATAGTTTCTTCACCCATAAATCGTGACGATTCATATTTAATTCAGTACAATTTGTTTTTGAGAGAACATTACAAGTATCTGGTGGCAGTTTTGGTTTTAGAAGATCAGTTTTCATGATTAGAAAGATATCTTTAATGAGCTTGGGATATGCTTATGTCTTATTTTGCCAATGCTCAAATAGATATTGGTCCATTAAATATTTTGATATGACATTAGTAATTGATGAGATGTTAATTTTCCGAGAAGGTGAGAATGTTTAGGCTCTGCTCATTCCCACTTATGTAGAATTTAAACCAGGGGGTGTTTCACAAAGATTTTAATTTAAACTTAACTCAAAGTTGGACTTAAATATTATGGAGAGCCATTTGTAGCCTTATAGTGAAATATATTCAAAAGCAAAAAATTGAAGTATTTTAGACTTTTCATAAATTCACATCAAGAACATGAAATCTACAACGATAATACAAAATATGAATGATTTGAATCAACATTTTATGCCTTTTAAAATAACTTTTACAAAATATGTTAATGGCTTTCCATAACTGTTAAGTCCAACTTAGAGATAAGTTCAACTTAGGATCTTTGTGAAACACCCCCTAGGACTATTTAATTAGCTAATGTGCCTTTTATGATTATCAACCTTATTATTGTTGTCAAAGGGTATCTGGTCAAATATTTATGTACAATTAATATACATGTACACCTGTAGGTCATATCATTCTTGTTATCTGACCTTTAAGATAACATTCATTGGTCACAATTGTTCATTCAAGCTATAATCTGTAGCTGGTAAAAATATTTAAAAAATCATGGTACAAGGCTAAAAATTTGTTTTCTCATATAGCAATCTATTTGTTCTTTTACAGAATATCACTATGAGCAGAGATTTCAAAATACAGGTCATGGTCAAAAGTGACTCCATATTATATTGGTCTCCATTGTAAAAAGTTTCCTAATGTTCCACTCTTTGCAATCTTTTAGAACTCTTATGCTACAATATTTAGTCATGTTTTAAAGATTACCTTCAGTTCTTGTAGTGAAAAGGGATATTAGATTGGAACTTTATGAATATGATCACATGTTGTTCCATTTGTATGAAAAGAAACATGTGTTAGATATTTTCCGCCCACTCTTTCCAATTAAATTGAGTGAAAAGATCTGAAGCGAATGCCAAAAGGAGACTGGTGTACATTTGTCTCACAGTGGAAGTACACCGCACCAACATTTTTAAATTTGTTCTTTTCTTTTTCTTTTTTTTTGTGGGGGGGGGGGGGGGAGGGGGTCCCTCGGACTAGAACTTTAACTGGCGGCCCCGGTGTAAGACAGTCACACCCTATGCATTTTAATACACTAAACTTCTCGCAAAAAGTAGGGTGTGCAAAGAGTAGGTGTAAACTCTGTGTTTAGTGTTATGTGCCAGCATACAAAACTGGTAACCTTTCTATATAGATCTCTGCGATAGGCTGCATAGCCCTTTAACATATAAGAAGAAGAACGGGGTCAAATTAACACTCTGGATTTCTGTACATGTGCTTCTCCAATTAAGAACCTGAATATACTTTGGTAGGAAATACTGCTTCCTCTTCACAACATTGTTATAATGCTGTCCAAACTCTTCCTGTTTCCTTTTCCCATTTCTTCTTTCAACATGGATAGGTTACTAAGTGAAGGGACGGAGGGAAGAATAGCTGAATAGATAGAAAGATAGATAGATAGTATATATAGGTAGATAGATGAATAAAAAGAGTTTTAAAAAAATCATTCTTTGAGAGATAATTAACAAACTGGTAGCTTTGACCACTGTAAAGATTTTTAAATTTAAATGTACTACCTAGTATTTTATTGTTAACTTTTTGCCTAATTTTTCATCAGTTGACTCAGGAGAAATTTTCATAATCTTCAAAAGAGAGAGAGAGAGAGAGAGAGAGAGAGAGAGAGAGAGAGGAGAGAGAGGGAGAGGAAAGAGAGAGAGAAAGAGAGAGAAAGAGAGAGAAAGAGAGAGAGAAAGAGAGAGAGGAGAGGAGAGGAGAGGAGAGGAGAGGAGAGGAGAGGAGAGGAGAGGAGAGGAGAGGAGAGGAGAGGAGAGGAGAGGAGAGGAGAGGAGAGGAGAGGAGAGGAGAGGAGAGGAGAGGAGAGGAAGAGAAGAGAGAGAGATAGAGATAGAGAGAGAGAGAGAGAGAGAGAGAGAGAGAGAGAGGAGGAGGAGGAGGAGATAGCGGTTGCACATGCAGATATATAATGGCAGGAGGAGAGAAAGATGGCAGACCGATACGGGAGAGATTGGAAATAGAGAAGGAAAAAGAGAGAGAGAGAGAGAGAGAGAGAGAGAGGGTGATGGAGAAAAAAAAGAGCGAGAAAAAGAAAGTAACAACATGCATGTAAATTTATTACCGCAATTTTAAGAGCTATACCCTGGTTTAATTTCCTGGTGATTTTGTAATGTGGGAATTTGTTGTAGAAACAGGATAGCACTGACAGGGAAGTGAATTGTTATTAGAGAAAGACAAAAAAAAATGGTAGAGGAAGTTCTGTTGCTGCTGATTTAGTCAGTTCATTGCACGACTCAATGTCTTTTCATTGACACGATATAGGAACTCATCAATGCAGCATAGAGAAAATTGTCAGTTGTCGAAACTCCAGCTGAAGCTTGAGAGTTCTTGTGAGAGGTTTCAAAGAGGCATCCATCGTCCTTGCGTGGCTCGT